TTTTTGGTTCATTTCACTTTCATTTCAATTTTCCGTATACTTTGTTGTTAAAAGAATGTTGTGGGATTTTACGTTTCGGGCATTGCAACCAAAACCCTTGTCATGTCCTTTCATCTTTTGCACAGATCTAAGTCATCTCCTGCTATTTTGAGAGAGGTTTATATCATCTTTGACCTTTATTTTAAGTACATGTTTATGTTTTGTTGGTTGGTGCTTTGATGGGGTCAGCTCAGTTATTTTCTCAGTATCAGCATCACTATTTTAAGCTGTATTCCTGGAACCAGGCACATGTAGCAGTCACCGACGTGTGGTTTAGTGGCTAAGCATTTGTCGTTGCATGCAGCAGATGTGAGCCCCATTACCATGAGCGGGGGACTCTTTTGAGTATCTCTCTATCTATCTTTCAACTTGGACATTGTATAATAACTCTGAGCCTGGATTGGCCCTGACAGGCAAGGTCAAACCTGCCTCCTGAATGGTCTAAAGTGTGTCGATGGGGGCATAAAAACGCACACACAGAAGAGACAAATTAGTTGTCATAATGCTGGCTCATTGTCTGCATCAATTTATAGTCGAATCTTATCTCACATTGTATTACAACAGGATTACCCGACGCCAAGAAAATCGACGTATTCCGAGATCTCACTGTGGAGAACGGCTTTTACACATCCAAAGAGTTTCTTCCCCTTGTGGCTGTGGCAAGTAAACCAGGTACTACAATAACACAGAACTTCTGCATGCATTCACTGTAATTAGTTATTTTTGGTTTACAGATTGGAACATGTAAATTGTTATTTTGTCATTGTCTTGATTAGTGTGAAGTTGAGGATTTTTGTGTTGTACAAGAGAGACTTGAGTCTTTGCTTCTCCACTGGGATATTGATAGCCCACAAATCCTTTAGTTAGCCGTTCTCCTGGATTTTCTGAATTATGTTGATAGAGGTGTAATACAATTAGTTATAGGGTGTAATACAATTAGTTATAGGTTCATTTTTACCGTTTTTATCACTTCACCCCGTATGTTGTTCCCAAGAATACAAAGTTACGACCCACTCCACTGCGACTCCTACGGCAACCCTGTATGTTGCGCATTGAATCAGAAAGTTCAAATTGGAGGCTCAACATTACTTTTAGTTTTGATGGAGGGGGGTTGTAGTTTTGCGTCGTTGTTGTATTTTATTGTTATTATTAAAATTATTGTCATCATTATTATTATTATTCAATCAGGTTTGTGTAGCTGCAAGACCCAGCAGCTCCCTCCACTGCGTGGCAATGTGATAGTTCTGGGTGCAGGAGACACAGCCTTCGACTGTGCCACGTCAGCGCTACGTTGTGGCGCCCGCAGAGTGTTTGTGGTCTTCCGGAAGGGCTTCACCAACATCCGGGCCGTGCCAGAAGAGGTGAGTTCTTGGGGTGTAGAAGTATTATCATGTATCATCATCACTGCCTTTCTCACCCTGGAACTGAGTATAGGCCATGAACAATCATTTTCCACATTTCCCTATAGCCTACTAGCCTCCTGGTATTATTCCGTTTCTTCCTACTTTTCTGTGCGTAATTTTGTGTTACTTTTTTCTAGGTTCCACATAGCCTTCCCCTTGATCACTAACCCTAGGGATTCCAATCCAAAACTTAAATAAGTCAAGAGATGTTGAAAAATAAAGTAAATTCATTATTGTTTGCTTCGGTTTTGAAGTAAAAATCAAAAGCAGTAGATCAAATACCAGCAGTACCAAAAACAACAACAACAGCTACAACAACCTAAACGACCCAAACAACAGCAACAACAACAACAGCATTAACAACAAAGAGAACAACAACAGCAGTAGAAGCAACAACAGCCCAGCTGCAACAACAACAACAACAACAACAATAACAACTAAAACAACAACACCACCAACATCAACTACAGCAACAGCAGCTACATCAAGAATAAGCTGTTTTCTCTACTTTCTATTTCTCTATTTTCTATTTTTTCAACTATTTCTCTACTATTTACTACTCTATTTTCTCCTTTAATTTCTCCTCACCACAGATGGAGCTGGCCAGAGAAGAGAAGTGTGAGTTCCTGCCCTTCCTGTCGCCCACAGAGGTGCGTGTGAACAACGGTCGTATCACGGGCATGCAGTTTGTGCGCACGGAGCAGACAGAGGATGGACAGTGGGTGGAGGACAAGGAGCAGATGGTCACTCTCAAAGCAGACTTTGTTATCTCTGCCTTTGGCTCAGGACTCACGGATAGCTCGAGTAAGCAGTTATGGAGGGATTGATTAGCGCCATTTTTCTGCATGTGGGGCAAATATTTTTTTAATATATACATGTTATATGTTGTTATTTTTTCCAGGGGGAGGGGATCCTTTAAGGTCCATTTGAAAGACATTTTTGTGTGAATTTTACTGAAAAATGTTGACCAAAGTCACACACAAAATTTTTAAGAACTCTCAAGCTTTGGAAGTGACCAAACTTTGGCAGCCGTTTTTCTCACTAATTTTTTACCCTACTCTAGAGGACCCCAACCTCTTTCAATAGCAAATATCTTTATTTCTTTTCAACATAGATGGGTATTATTTTCATCAAAAGTGAAATAAATGAGTAAACGTTAAGTTGATAATAATAATTCAGTATGCTCAAAAACTGATGATCGCCTGATTCAACCGTGTCGTGACACAATATCTTTTAAAACAACCTGTAAAAGAAAATGCTCTTCTGTTTCCCCAGTGAAAGAAGCTCTCAGTCCAGTAAAACTCAACACGTGGGGCCTTCCGGATGTGGACACGACAGACATGCGCACAAGTGAACCGGATGTGTTCTGTGGTGGTGACATGGCTGGGGTGGCGCAGACAACGGTGGAATCGGTCAATGACGGGAAGGTCGCTGCTTGGTCGATGCATAGATTCCTGCAGGTACTTCTTGACAGGGTGCTCCGTTTGGTCATTTTATATCATGTTGGACTGCGGATGGCCCTGACTTGAAACCCAGCCAGGACGCTTTCGAACTCGGATTATGTTGTTGAGTTTTTAAGGCTCTCAACCCATCTTGTTCGATC